AGAACAGGGGTGAGGCAACAGGAAATGTGAAAAATCTACTCCCAGGAAGGGAAAATCACCCCTGAAAGAGTTATCCTGTGGAAAAGGTGTCTCCACTGAAGCTTTATCACCAAGCCTTGTTTCCACAAGCTTTTTTTTTTTCAAAATCCATTTATCACAGGAACAGAAATGAATTGAACCACCTAAACTAGGAATTACAGGTTTATGATGACTCTCCTGCAGACATCAGAAGAGCCACAAGACCAAGAGCAAGCCACAGGAATAAAGACAATGATCAACCTAGAGGGGAAATGTTCTTACCATGCCTAGGGAAACTGTTGAAGAAATGCAATCTACAAACAATCTACAGTTCCACTAAGAAAATTCGACAAATGCTACATTCAGCCAATACTAAGAGGGATCCTCTAACCACTGCTATCTATTGCATATCATGCAGCTGTGGACAAGTCTACATAGGGATCACCAAATGCAGCACCCACGAAAGGAACTGCAAACTAATTCAACCAGAAAAATCAGCAATAGCAGAACACACAATAAACCAAGCTGGGCACAGAATATTATTTGAGTACATAGAAATTCTGGACCATTCTGACATCCACTATGTCAGACTACACAGAGAAGTCACTGAAATCCACAAGCACATGGACAATTTTAACAGAAAGGAAGGAATCACGAAAATGGAATCACAAAATTTGGCTACTAGTATTAGAATCAAATCAGTGAATAAGGAACATAACCAGACACAGGAAGTCTCCAGATAGTAAGCAATCAAGGGCTGGTGAACACCACTCAGACAAAGGATGTCTCTAGGCAACAAACCATACTAAAAAAAACCCCTTTATTTTTAACCCACCCTTTCTCTCAGTTCAAAGGGAACAAAGGCCAGGTTACTTCCAAGCTTGCTAATTGTACCCTTTACATTAGTTTAATATACAATGGTTCTTTCCTCCCACCCTGGACATCCCACAGGTATATAGATTCTGCTTGCTTTACTATTATCAGATCTTCTGAAGATGCCAGCCACAGATGCAGGCAAAACATCAGGAGAAAATGTTGCTAGAACACAGCCCGGAAACCACACAACACCCCAGGCCTCAATATAGTTCGCCAGACTGTATGTCATGTGCAACCCTTCTCTAAACCTGTTCAATGAATCTATAACAGATACAGGGCCCTTCCAGACAGGTCCTATATCCCAGGATGTGATCCCAGGATTTCTGGTTATTCCAAATTATCTGGCAGTGCTGACTCATATAATCCACCAGAAATCCTGGGATCAGATCCTGGGATATAAAGCCTGTCTGGAAGGGCCCTCAGAATATGGATATATGCTTTTGATTTCTCCCTTTGAATCAATAGAGTAAGGACAAGTGTATTTAATATCTTCAAAGTCTTTAATTTACTTTTGAGGACTGCCAACAGCAGTCAGAGGAAAGAATGTTTATTCGGCTCAACAAGAAATTCTTTTCTTTTTTTCCATATGACTTTACAGATCCCAAAAGAAAGATACCAACATCAATAACAGCAACGTTTGGGTTGTGCTCACTTAATAAGACCACTCAGACCAATGTACGGAATGACAAAACAAAGTAAAAGAATCAATAAAATGCATGTACTGCCAATAACTTGTAAAGTTAGTACCACAATACAATCAGTGCTTAAAACAAAACATAAATGCAAACCTGACAGCAGCAAGAGTGAAAGATGCAAAGAGGCAGTTCTTTGTGAAACTATATGATTCACAGAAATAGTTTTATTTTGTTAATGATACTGTTTCAAAGACATGTTTCCATTACTCTCCCATTTCAAGGTTCCTAAAACTGCAAGCCAAGGTTGGGTTATTTATGTTTACCCCATATTTCATTTATTATTTTAATTTGTAATCTAGCCATCATCTTATGATCCTGGGAATGGGGTGTATATTATATCAATAAATTGTATATGTACTAAAGAAGTGACAGACATGGTTGTTTTGGGCAGAACTGTTTGCAGAAGCCAAATTTTAGGAGAGACATAAATACTGCATTCTGGAGCATAACATGAGTCAACGCAGTAAAATAAATAATGAGTCTCCAGTGCTGCATTATAAGAGAATTTTTTGTCATCTTTGAATCCTACAACTTCCAAGGTCTTGAATATGCCTGGTAAATATCCTAGTAGTTTGTGTTGATGTTAGATGTTGTTTGCTGCCTTCCATTCCCAGTAGGTGCCCATAAACCCAGTTGATTGTAAAGTGGACAGTGATCTGGAAAACATATTTAGGGCAACAAAAGACCCATCTTGTATATTTGGCATTCTTTCCCCACCTCAGCCCTTTACTGCATTCTCCAGGGGTCACTAACAACGTGCCAGAGATTGTACAAGGAAAGCTTTACTGCTGTATATAATTTACCCCTATAAACTGTCAGTTTTACAACCAATTGGCAGCTATCTGTTAACACTGCCAGACATTTGCCAGGACACAAGCTTAGATCCACAGCCAGCTCTTGAAAATCCTTAAATCTGCCAAATCTCCCTTCCTTGTCTCATTTCCTGCTCTCTGCCCTGTCTGAGCAAGCAACAAGAGCAATGATATTGACCACCTTGCCATGTCCTTCTGGATTGACAAGTGGCAAGGCAAACGACCCAGCAATAGCATAACTGATGAGGTGGATATGGGGCTATTCAATGATGTAAATACTGTGCAGCAGCTGGAAATCATGATTAAGCAGCCAACACACATTCAGAAACAAATTCAAGCCTTTATTGTAGGGACTCCACTGAGATAGGAAATTTCTTCAAGGCACTAGGCCACATATGGGCAAACCCAGACCTGGGGGGCTGGATGTGGCCCCTTGGCCTCTTTTCTCAGGCCCTCCTCTCTCTCGCCATCCTATCCTTCTTTCCTTCTCTCTTCCCTTCCTCCTTCCCTTCCTTCCTACCTTTCATCCATCCTTCCCTCCCACCCTTTTGTCCTTCCCTCCCTTTTGACTTTCCCTCCTCTCACTTTCCTTCCTCCTTCCCCTCCCTCTTTTTAATTCTTTAGAGAGAACTGTTGTATTTCCGACATTTGGTCCCCAAAGCATATTGTCCAAGGGGGCTCAGATCCTGAAAATGTTACTGTCAAGTGAAATCATAACACATATTAAGATAACTGCTCAGTTTAAAAAAACATAGGAAACCAAAAGGCACTCTAGGAAATATTGCTAGATTGCTGCTATACAACCCACACTTAGATAAATTTATAATGAAACTGAAACAATCAGATTATCTCTGTATCATTTATTGGGCACCAGTAGTTCAACACAAACTAAAAACAGCAGTGCAAATAAATTTAAAACAGTTGCCTCAAGTCCCTTGTTCATTATTACCAACGCTCAGAGCATCTTCCAACCATTCTTGCCTCTCTTTTCTGCTTCTATTTGAGCATCACAGCAATAATTTAGAAGGTATCCTTACCAAAAGCTAGCAAGCACCCTTCAGTGACTGAAATATCATCAATGGCAATGGTTTCTCCAGACACCCAGGGTTCAAGTATTTGTCCTTCAATAGACAGCTGCAAAACCTGCATTTGTGGAAGACACAAAGATTCAGTAAGAATACTGTCAATTACACTGTCCAATGCATTTTATAACAGTGAAGGAGCCAGTTTTTGTGAGTTCTTTTTTGCATGATCCCCAATGTCCTTCCTGACATCAGTATTGAAGAAACAGGAAGGTAAAATTGGGGAATAAAAACAGCATTCCTACCTAGAATGTGTAGTGTTTAGCATAGAAGTGAGCAAAGTGGGATACATCTCTCATATACACCGACTGCTGCTGCCCGGAACCACAAAAGACAGTCACCAAGGTACCATGAACATGATTTACAAGTGGAGTAGCACTTTTCAGAGCCTCTCAGAAGGTTCTCCATTTTCAAATAAGGAAAATATAGTCCATGTTTTATTTTAAAGGCAATTTGCACCTTCAAATAATGTTGCTATTGCCAAAATAATATTATGAGAAGTGTGGTGTCCAGTGAATTTTTGGATGCACCTATGAAGTCATGGAAGTTGCCCATCATTGAGTTGCCCTTCATATCAATAAGAGTTGAAATCCCTATGAAAGTCATCATACAGCCAAACTTTCTTTCATGGGAAGAAAATGAAATTAGAGGTAAAGATATGAATCCTCAACTATGTGATGATGAATAATTGCATTCATTTTCTCTAGACTGCAGTGGAAAATAAATATCCTTCCACAGTATTCTTCCTATATTTAAATATCCCAAACAGTTGTGGTGTAATTATTTTGCAAGGGAAAAAATGTGAGTTTTTGCACACAAGAAAACCCCCCCACAGTGTTTTCTGCATAGGAAAAAATATGTTTCTCTATCAAATAATTCTTCTGCAAAACTTTGGGATGTTCAAATACCAGGAAATAAATTATGCAAAATTCTCACTGCCCTATTATTTTGCCCAGCTGTCACAAAACCAATCTAGGAACAAATAGTCATATTTTTCCATTGCTAGATAAAGGACAGCTTTATATGCCATCCTAAATTCCTTCAAAATGGGCAGAATACATCAATCCATGCAAACACAACTTTAGCAACAAGAAAAATGCTCGCAGGTTGAGTTACCACAGATTTCATTTTATTTTTATGGCTTAAAAAGATTTCAACAAACAGAATTTAGCCCTTTTCCTAGAGGGTAACATAATCTGGGAAGAAAAATCATATTTTCTCTTTTCTGATACCTTGAATAGGAAAGGGGAATGTCTCTCATCAACTGAAATTGCTACTGGGCCCATAACTAGGAATTTTGCTCATTTATTTAGAATACTTCATCAAAAGATTTTTATGAAGTTGTGTAATGGCCATCAAATATACTACAAACCAAATGGTAGAATAATCTAGTGCCAACTAGATTTCTCCTGAAGAGGCAAGAAAGAGATTGCATAAGATTGTATAAGGCCCAAGTTACGCCTCCGATAAAAGAGAATTAATTTGGGACAAAGCTGGTAAACCCTGCTTTGTCCCAAATTGATTTATACCCGTTTAGACCTGTGCTATCAAATGGAATATGAGACCTGTGGGGACTGACTCCCGGGTACTCCCGGGGTTCAGTCCCCACACCCATCTTGCTACTTTGGGCTCCATGAACCCACACCCCCAGCCCTTAAAATAAAATAAAACTTACTGAGCTGCCATTACACATCTCCAGCAAACATCCTGGCACATAAAAATGATGTGTTAGGAGGTGGGGGGAGGAGCAAATCGCTCCTGCCCCCACCACCTCCTCGTGTGTTATTTCTACACATCAGGAGGCCTGCCAGAGAGGCATAATAACAGCCCAGTAATTTTTAAAAGGCTTTTTGGAGGGGTTGGGTTTTTTGGTTTTTTTTGTCGTGTCAGGAGCAAGTCGCTTCTGGTGTGAGAGAATTGGCCGTCTGCAAGGACGTTACCCAGGGGACACCTGGATGATTTGATGTTTTTTATCATCCTTGTGGGAGGCTTCTCTCATGTCCCCGCATGAGGAGCTGGAGCTGATAGAGGGAGCTCATCAGCCTCTCCCCGGATTCGAACCTGCGACCTGTCGGTCCTCAGTCCTGCCGGTTTAACCCACTGCGCCACCAGTGGCTCCAAGGGGTTGGGGTGGCCCATGCTAACTACTGGGAGGACATGGGGACACCCCACCCAGGAAAGCCCAGGTCTTTTGGAAGGGCAAGGGGACTTAAACCCACAACAAAGTGGGGGTTTCTTAAACCCACTTCATCATGGCTTTAAGCCTTGTCTGAAAGTGCCTTTACACAAATTCCTGAAAAAAAAGTGGATATCCAAGTCTAAATGAATCCAGCTACAGCAGGCTCATTGGAAAGCTTCAACTGCCCAGCCAATCTCACACCATGCTCTCCTTCCACCTGGTCAATGGAGGTGTGCAATGGAATGGGCTTTCTCAAAATGGGGCACAGAAGGCAAAAACAGCTTAGATTGGATGGGGATCCAATATTCCCTGAGCTTGTGGCAGCTGGGTGCATTTGGATTTTTCCAAACCAATTATCCAGGGGGAAAGTCACCTTTAAAAAAATATAACTGGTATAATAGTATTATAGACATTAATATTTTACCACCATCTCCCTTCTCATTAGATTAATGGCCTTATACATAAACCAATATCCAGAGCTTCCTAAATTGTTTAACTAGATTTCAAGAATGGAGTTCTGAGAAAACATAAGATCAACATACTCTCCAGTGCTATCAAACACACTAGCATACTTAATATGGAACTGGAAAAATCTATGCTAAAAACCATTTTCAATTATGGACCAGACAAAATAGATTTCTGGATGGTCATTGGCCCATCTCTTTCCATCTTTTTTTCCATCCAAATATGCTAACAGAAATATATTGAATTTCAGCTTCTGGTATGCTATCGTCCATGATTCATAGGATGTGCTTGATTTGGTGAATCACAAGTTGTGGAAGCTAATCTAATATTCACAGTCCACTAAGTAGACATTTTTTTTACAGGTAATGCAAATTTCATTATCAAGTCCTCCCACTTCATCTACTAGCATATGGCAATTGAACTAATTTTAATTGTATTTACTATAACTACAAAATTAATGCTTCCATTAAATCATAAGATAAGGTAAGTAACATGATAACACCATTCTTGCCTTTTTAGCAGAATCCACATCTCAGAATTCACTCACATTTCCTGTATAAATTTTTCTGTTTTGGATGACATTCCACCTATTCCAGCATCAGAATAAACCACATCAATTTGCATACCTCAGTGTTCAGAGTATTGTTGATTATGAGCACTGTTCTTTGCCACTGATTTTTAATTCCACTACTTTCTTGCCATATGGTGTTTATGGTTCTTTCAGAGGGAGACCAAAGTCCCACTGTTACGGTTCCATTTATTTGGCCAATCCAGTAATAAAATGAAAGCTAAAAGGGAGAATTAAGAAACAGCCTAAGTGTGTTGGCAAACCACAATAGCAAGAAGAATATAAAAACAAGATACATCCAAACACCTGACAAGTGAGCTGGTTGCTAGCTGCGAAGATCACCCCAATTCTCAGAACTGCAGGAGACGCAACTCTTCTAGATGGCAATGTAAGAAAGTGAGCTGTTGAGAAATAAGACATATTTTTCAGTATTTGTTTCTTTGTAGAATTTGTTTGGAAGGACTATGCAATGGATGGGTTGAACTAAAACAGATAATGGACGGAACAACTGGCCTGCAGTCTGCAGAAGTTTGAGTCCAACTCAGGGTGCATCTACACTGTAAAATAAATGCAGTTTGATACCACTTTAACTGCCATGGCTCAATGATATGAATGTTGGGATTTGCAGTTTGGAGAAGTACCAGATTTCTTTGTCAAAGAAGGCTAAAGGCTTTGTAAAACTACAACTCCTACGATTCTTTATAGCACTGACTTATGACAGTCAAAGTGGTATCAAACTGCATTAATTCCACAGTGTAGATGTACTGTGTCCACATTTTACTCTTTGATCAAATCGATCTTGGTGGAAGTTAGCTGTTGTGATATGAGAGTTCTTGGTAAAAGTTGAGCAACTCAGTATCTCACTTGGTTATTGCTTTTTCTCTTTTACATGTCATTGCTGCTTTCAGGCTACACTGAGACAATAAAAAAGGATTTAGTAGGTTCACTGAAGTAAAGCAGAACTTGCCTGAAAGTGTCAAGATCAAAAGCTTGAATAAACCGTCAGAAAGTTCATTTTGCTTCCTGCTCATGCCTCTCCCAATGTGTTCAATGCACAAAACTACATCTTGTTTAGCCTCTTTATATTTCTCCATCAAGCTATCATCCTCGTCCATAAATCTCTCCCAGTGATTGATTTGTCAAAACGTTTTCTGAATCACCAAAGGTCTCAGTTGCAAGTCCCCACTAAAACAGACTCATTGAGTTAACAGTATTCACACTTTTATCTAATTCAATTGGTCTGCTCTAATGAGGACCAGTAATTCAATCTAGACCATTATCTCAGGTTTTGTACATGTTTCTTTTTTACTTGTCACTCAGGGTTCATCTACTTATACAACTAAGTCTATGGCCAGCCGGGAGTAGCAATTCAGATATCCAGGTTTAATTTCTGGCCCAACGTGGAGTACAGGACCACTATAGATAAGTCCTCAGTTTATTTCCACTGATAAGAACATCTCCTATGTGAGGTTCCACTCACAGACATTCCCTTCAGTAGAAAAGAGAAGAGGCAACTTTCACCAATTTTAATTTCACAGCTTCTTGTGCACCTGAAAATTTGTTCATCTGGATTGTTCAGAATAGGCAGCCTGCCGAGTTAATAGAGGGAAATTGCCTTCTTTCTGATTTGACAGAAGGATCTGAGTCTTGAACAAAAAAGCTTCTTATGTTTACAGCTGTCTAATTGAGATCTAAGTCCTTGTCTTCTGATAACCCAATTCTCACAGCTGTTTACCAAGTCCTCACTTCTCTCCTTTCAAGCTTTTTCTGTGCATTTAGCTTGCAATAGTTCCACTTGAACTAAAGTAACAAAGGAAAGATCTATACAATGTAGGTCTAGCACACTATAGGCAGTCACCAAGTTATGAACAGAATAAGATCTGTAGGTTTGTTCATAACTTGAATTTGTATGTATGTCGGAATAGGTACATTTTAAGTGTAACTCCAGCCATATTTTTTTTTAGCTTTTGATAGCATAGAGAAGGGTTAACATCCCTGTGGAGTTTGTTTTGCTGTCTGTGCCTCAGTTCAGAAGATTTTGCCTCACTTTCTGTCCCTGTAATAATTGGATTTTGAAAAAAAATGGGTTACTGTGGAAACAGGGATTGGTGAGAAAGATTCAGTGGAAGCACCCTTTCCCCATGATACACCTTCAGGAGTGAATGTCCCTTTCTGGGGGCAGATTTCTCTCACTTGCTGTTGTCTCTCTCCTGTTCTTAACTATGAGTTATTTGTAAATTAGATGTTTGTAACTCAGGGATTGTCTGTATTAGAGTTAAGCCGAAAATTGGGAATTTCTTATGAAGTTGTGTAATGGCCATCAAATATACTACAAACCAAATGTGTGTGCATGTGTTATTACAGACACTACCACCAGTCCTCCAATATACATAACCCTTACATTTTCACAGAGATTTCGCTGCAATGCCTTTAGCACAGGGCCTGTTTTTCTGGATGAATTGATTTAACAGTCAGTAATAATATGACCGTCTATGGTGTGGCAGAAGGTTTGATGTTGTCTTGAGTACAACCTAAAACCAGATGGACTTGAATCCAGATCCTTTTGGTAAGAAGGTCAGATCCTTCTCTGTTAACATTCTGCAGCAGCAATTATTTTCCTGTCTTAATGTTTTTCTATTTAATAAGTGGATCACATTCTATATCATGTGACCTCAAGACATCATACCTATAGCATCTTTTTAAATACCCTCAGTTTGTTCTGTCTTGGCATGTTGTTACATCTTGCTTCCCTGAACAGCACTACTTTGCTGTCTAAATCCCTCTTCGCAACCTAAAATTACCTTGTAATCCCCTCCCCATAACCTTTGTTCTCATTTGCTCCATACCAGTCTTTCTGTTTCTTTCTGTTCTTCTGGCTTCACAGCTTGATATGGAAACTGAGCCCTTAAGTTTAGGAATATGCTATCCTCTTTGGATGCATCGCCTTTTTCTCGTTTGACTTTGACCTATAACTTTTTCAAGTTCATATCTACCTTTCAATATTTACCAATTCTACTGGACTCAGAAGCAGTTGCACTACCCCTGACCCAATGCATGGTATTGCTGTGACCAGCAAACCCTTTCAGGTGAGTAGTATTCCTTTGGTTTTCATAAATTTAACCAGGGCAGGGACCACAACCTCTGTATATTACAGCAAGACCTGTTTGAATAAAAATACATTCTTGGATGTGCTGGTGAAAATTGACTCGTATTAACTCAGAGGCTGTGGCCCTATTTGAACATACTTTTTCTAATGGGCTTCTATTTCCTACTTTGATGACCACTTAAATTCAGCAAAATGGCCAAGAATGCTTAGGGTCAGAAACCAATTTATGCTTTCCACCACACTTTCCAAGTCTTAAAATTACAGATTCAGGAAATGTTTAAAGATGGCTTTAGAAAAAATGGGAAAGTGAACGGAATGAACAAACATGAGACTGAAAATTCTTGTCTGCAATAGTAGCATATCACAAAATATCTACAGCCAGGAATCTTCAGAGATAAATTATAAGTTGATAAACATGTAATAAAGGAAGGTCTCCACATAATCATGCGATAATTGTTCTCTTCTGCTTCTACACGATGAGCCTTATTTCTTATGACTCAAATTATTTCAACCAAGTGCTTTGGGTCAACCACAATTACAAGGTGTAATTAAGTTCAAGTTACTCAAGACAAAAAAGGACCAAGATAATACTGGTCAATGAATATTAGATTTTTGAAGTCAATTCTGGCCACATATGTACATAACAATAAATCAAGGTCCCCTGGCTTCCTGTGGATGAATTTTATTATGAGCTTGCAGTTGTGATGCGTTTGGGGACCACAAATCAACATCCGTGGTTCAGACACCATGACAACTCATATTCTGGTTTGTTTGACCAACAAAGAGAGGCACAAAGCAGGAGCAAGAAGCAATGGTAGTAAATATGCTTATGCTTAAGAAGGAAATAAGTTCTCTTTTTTTTTACCTGTGTTGTTCCCACTGTGATCCGAGTGAGGGGATCCTGTGATGGTAATACCATTGCTCCTTACCCAGTTAGTAGGTGACGTCCTATTATTGATCATCTTGTACAATTCATTCTCAAAATCCCATTTGTCATGATAGTAACCTAATCATAGAAGAGTGCATGAGCTTTTTAAAACAGAATAAACATTGAAAGCAAACAATTAAAACAGGCAGGGTAGTCACGTCTAATGTTAACATTTCTCTCAAGTAGCAAAAATTCATAATGCTGAATGGATGACAAGAGGCAAAGTGACTGGTAGGACCTCATCCCATGGAATAAGTAAAATGAAGTAAATAGTTTTCACTTAAGCTTCGCCATGTCCCGTTTTGAAATTAAATGGAAGATTTTCCTACCCCATCACACTTAATCCTTTTCTCTACTTTAAGATTTATAATTTGATTTGCCATCACACAGCAGACATATGTCTCCTCCCCTGTTGTTTGCCTTCAAAATGCTTCAACTACAGCAGACCTAAGGCATCAATCTTAAGGAAACACTTTTTCTGAGGTTATTTGCTTTCAACACACTTCCAATGAAAAGGCGTTAAGGCACCATTTTAAACACTTATTTCAGTGGGAGCCACACCACCTGAATGCGCATTAGCCATTGTAAAAAACATACAAATTACCTCCTCATTACCTTATGGCAGACAAAAGGATTCTATACTGCCCATCTCCCCATGTTTTATTTCCAAACGGGCAAGGGGGAATTTCCATCTCATGTTAAATTGGCTGTATTTAAATGTCTCTATGCAGAGAATTGTGAAATAAGTCGACTGCCAATAAACTTAGAAATCATGGGAAAACCCCACCATTTAGAAACAATGAAATACACGGAACCCACAGTTGAGGCTTGCATCATGTGATGGGCTCAGTGGATTGCTGATTCTTAAATGAGTAGAAATGCTGGTTTTATTGTGTGTGATGAAGTCAATAGTATTAAGTAAGTCCACTCGGTATAGCTTCTTCATCCATAAACGATTGCTTTAATGTTACACCACCCCACAAAGCATTGCAAAAGCTTTTCTATTTTAAATTTCAGATTCAGGAAGCAATTATCTCTCTTATTCAACCAACCAACCCCCATTCCACAATATTATAAGAAAATCCCATGATAGGGTAACCATAGGTCTACGAATAGTGTAGACTAATAGAAATCAATGAATCTTGTACATGATTAACCTTACTGCCTTTGATTTCAGGGGATCAACTATAAATTTGACTACATCTGAATTTGATCCCTTGTTATGTTTATGTCTTCTGAGACTTCAAAGGACATCTCTACCTTCAGAAAGTTTCAATTTATAGCCTGGGCTCTTAATCACATAGCCCTTTAAATCTTGGAAGACTACACCATAATGATGTCTCTTTAAAAACCTGTGGTCTGAATTTCAATAAGCTATTAATGTAAGTGTAATGATAGGTAAAAGCATTACAATGTATTAGGTAATGCTGTCAGAGGGCCAGCCATACATTTTACATGTTCAGCTCTTCATAAATCAGTTTTCTGTATGGGGCATCAAGTGTTTACATTTTCATTAGCTCTTTGAACTCACTTTCATATCTCAGCTGCTCCTGTTTCTGTACTGTATAACAAGAAGATGAAGACAAATAGCTGGCAGAGAGAATGTATACTGAGTCAGGTTTAAGATAACTAAAGTTATTCATGGCTGAGGGAAAATAAGAAATAGCTTTTCCTAAAATATAGATAAATTCCATTCCCCCAAAAGATTCTACCACCCTGATTCTTTTGTAAAAGTATGTTTTGTAATCTGCAACAATAAGGTACAGCAGATGTTGAATGTACTTTTATATTTAAAGAGAACTAGTGGATGCTGCAAATAACTATGTATATATCTCAAACTAGGAGGGGAAATAGATTTACAACAAACCACTCTTTTGGCTCCATATTGTGTGCTTCAACTTTATCAAAACTGATATATCTCCTAACTTATTATATTCAAAGACGGCAGCAAGGGAAATAAGAACCCTCTTCAATGTTCTCTCATAATTTATTCATCTTCCCAACTATCCAGCAGTCTTGCAAGTGTCCTCTGCTTTTATGGACCTTATCACATTGAGATATATTTCATTTATATCAGTAAGGTAAAGGTTTCCCCTTGACATTAAGTCTAGTCATGTCCGACTCTGGGCGTGGTGCTCATCTCCATTTCTAAGCCGAAAAGCTGGCATTGTCCATAGACACCTCCTAGGTCTTTTGGTCAGCATGACTGCATGAAGTGCTGTTACATTCCCTCCAAAGCAGTACCTATTAATCTACTCACATTTGCATGTTTTCAAACTGCTAGGTTGGCAGAAACTGGGGCTAACAATGGGAGCTCATCCCATCCCATGGATTAGAACTGCCGATCTTTTGATCAGCAAGTTCTGCTGCTTAGTGGTTTAACCCACTGTGACACTGAGGCCCCAAGGATGCATATCAGTATGCATTCCATTTTTTAAAGGACTTGATGAATACTGTATTTAGACAGGATGCTTGCTGATCCCATCATACCTGATACATACATTTCGGAATACTGCATTTTGACTCATCACCACCGGAAACTGGGCTCCTTCCAATCTGTTCAAATCCCTACATCACTTTTTTTTTTAAATCCTAATTGTTTTTCCTAATATTGCACAGTGACAGAGCCTGGACGTTTCAAACTACTGTACTCATGGGATTTTACTTGACATGATGCGTGCTGATTTTACAATCACATGTGAAAATAGCACCTCAGAACAGTATTAAATCAAAAATCATGATTACAATTCCATGTGCAATTGCTCCATATCTGTGATATTTGCAGACAGATTCCAATGGATTACTGATGGGACAAATATCATGTGATAGGACCCATTTGGAACTCATTTAAAGAGTCTCAGAAATGGAGTATATCCCAATGTCATAAGGTCCTCTGTCTGCTTTGCTGTACCACATAGTGGTGGCAGATTCATTGATGGGTTATTCCCATGAATGAAAAGAGATGATCCAATCACAATCCAAGTACAATATAACTACAAACCCCAAACAAATGTGGGTTGGACCCTGCAATACTCACTACAAGTAAGTCTTTCACTAACCATTTTCTACATGTTTTATCCCAGTAGTTCTCAACCTGTGGGTCCCCAGGTGTTTTGACCTACAACTCCCAGCCAGTTTACCAGCTGCTGGGATTTCTGGGAGTTGAAGGCCAAAACATCTGGGGACCCATAGGTTGAGAACCACTGCTTTATCCAATAGTAGTGCTTGCTATATCTCATTCCTCCTTTTTACATTACACTCAAACACTGACATGCAAAGATGCCTCTTTGCCCTTGAATTTGCCATCATGCCATTTTGTTTCATGTAGACGTAGGAGCTATTTCAAAATTTGTAATTTGTCGGTTGTTTATGCTTTCCCATTTATTTTGTGGCCTCTCAAAGCTCTGGTGGTTTAAATCCACAAATACTGTGGTTTAGAGGTTTAGACACAAACAAAATTCCTCCACTCCTCCACAAAAAGTTGCCACCTGTGATGGTAACATTTTGTGGAACATTACTGCTGAAACAGCAATCTAGCAAAGCAATACGGTGATGAAAATACAAATGTTTCAGACAAATGCTTTTATTTGGTAATTAATCTTCATTACAGTCCATGGAGGGACAGTGCTGCTGACATGCACAAGATTGGGCGCTGAAGCATTCATATTAAATTGTGCCTTGATGATCATGGTAATATTTGTGAGAATTATCTTTTTGCTAGCCTCTAAAATTTTTCTTAGATGAAGAAATGCAAAAGGCCTTGGATTTGGAGAGAAATAATCCATTATGTTCTTCTATTTCAGTTTAATGTTGCTTTTTATAATGAAAAATATGTAGGGAAAGCAGGCTGTAGATTCCTTCCTGGACAATAATCATTAGTTCCACAGATAGATAGATAGCACAGATAGACAGCAACATCTAATTTGATTATTCCCTGAAAATGGATTACTAAGTTGCAATCATTGCTATGTGCTTTCAAATCAACTCTAACTTTTCACAATCCTACTGTAGGATTTTCATGGCAAGATTTATTCAGATGTAAGGTTGAGAGTGCAAAGTGCCTAGTGTCTCTCACTGAGTCTCCATTGCTACGCATGGATTTGAACCTTGCTGTTTTAACAGTCGTAGCCCAACTCTCAAACCATCAACTGGCTCCTGGGAATAGTCTATTCTAGGTACAGTTCAATGGAAACCAAAAATATGTTTGATTTACATCCTATTAATGATTTATTCAAATATAATTGTAGGCCATATGAGTTAGCAAGATTGTACTGCACAATGCTAAGGATACTGACACAAAAGTAAGGCCCAATATATTCATTCAAAGTAATGCGTCAAGGGGAATATGAGACAAACACTACCTGCACCAGCCATCCAAATTTTCAGGGATGTAGACTTACATATAAGATGAACAAGAGTTTATTTTGTCTTTGTTTTTGTTTGTTTTTTTAACAGTTAAAAGCATAATACCCTTCTTGCTCAAAGCTACCTGGCTGAATTTCTGGGAGATGATATTCTTATCTGTTCTTATAGTCAACAATATTATTTCCACACATACTGTTATCAAACTGGGTGTCACCCATTCTATATTTATACATTTCATTTTCCCCACCTAAATGCAGAACCTTGCATTTATCCTGCTGAAATCCCATTTTATTAGTTTTGGCTCATCAATCCAAAATACAAAGGTGGGTCAAAAGATTTTGCCTCCTGTGTCATAAAAACGTTATGGATGAACATATAACAGCAGAAGTTACTACAGATTATAGCCTGAACTAATCTGTGCACAAAACTATGGTTCAACATAGTCACCATCAATTTGTACACATTTTTGCACCATCATTTAACCCAGTCATCAAAAACATTTTGGAAAAATTCAGGGTTTTGCTTTGAGACCCATGATTTTAAAGCTGTTTTAATGTCATTCAAGTCATCGAATCTGAAACCATGTAGGTTGTCTTTTTGGTCCTCAGTCTTGCCCTCTGGAGCTTTAGCTACCTTTCTTAATTTGCTACTATTTGCAAATTTGAAAGCTTTGCCCACTTTCCATCATTACAGTCATTAATAAAGATGTTGTA